CTTTCGTTATTGTAAATGCTTGTAGTCCAATCGACCCAGTTGATCTCGGGATTGATTTTTTAAAGGAAATCTCGCCCAAAGATCAAGTTAAGCCCTTTTACCTTGGTGATGGGGAGGGCAGTTTTCCAGTGCAGTGGTCCGGTCTGTAGGTGTAACACTGCTTCGTCGTAGACTGGTAACTTGTTGTCGTCCACCATCGTTGCAGAAAATGCTGAAGGCTTGCACTCCTCCTGAAGTCGGTCGATTGCTGCCTTGTCGCATACGGTGTGTGATGCTCCACTGTCCACAAGTGCTTAGAGGCATCGCCCTTTGCAGATGACCTCGAGCATGAGGGGCATGCGTTGCTCGGAGTACCCAAAGATAGTTTCATTAATAGGATCATAGGGTACATCCCAATATTCCGTACACACCTTTCGTTGCTATCTACTTCTGAGCTAGCAGCTTGCCGAGGCTGCTTGGAGAAAGGCTCTTCTCCAGCGCTTGGAGTTCTCTTGACAACTGTGTGTGTTGTCGATGCCGAAGTTGCTGAGCTGGATGCATCCGAAGGAAGAGTTCGGGATTTTTGCAGCTTCTTGTAAACCCCGAGCTTCCTCTTGAGTTGCTTCAGCTCCACCGACGTCTTCCCTGGGGAGCGGGTAGTCGCCATGGGCTGGTGTTGGGAGAGGACGTTGTCTCCGTCGAAAGATCAGCTTCTTTCCACACTCCTTAAAATGTTCCCCAAGTTCTCTTGTACCGGTACGATCTCCACAATTTTTTGCTTCTTCTGGAGTCCCTCCCAAAGATTCTCCAAGGCTCTAGCCCCTCGAGAATCATAAGTTTTCATGAAAGCATATTTATAAGATAACTTTAATGAATCCTTATAATTTCTTGGGTCTTCAAGGAGTTTCCCTGTCTCGAAAGAGGCTTTTTCCGCGGAGTCATATTTTTTCTTGGCAATTTTCCCTGGCGAAGACTGGTCATGGGGTGGAGATTTTCCCCCATCCCTCGTGCTCGCGTCGAATCAACTTCGTCGATTTTGATTTTTTTTGGGATACCGCGGCCTCTTTCGGATCTTTTCTTTTTTCGCCAACTAGATCTGCAATCACTGGCGATTCCTTTTTTTTTTTTTAACTTCTGATTGGCTAAAGAATTCCCGCCACTGTTGCGCGTCCGATTCTTTGCATGTGCGGCCTTCATTTTGTTGCAGTCAAAGATTCGATGGATCGGCACCCCTCAAAAATCGAACATGAAATTGCCGTTTTTCAGACGTGGCTGCCCATCGGACCTCTCGATTTCCATCGGGTCGACGAACTTGGGATGTGCCGAGCGGTCGCCCTGTCGCATACTATCGACGTACGCCTGTCATTTTTTGGCATTGACCATGTCAAACCGCTCCGCTGCCGATAGGATGTCACTGTAGCTCGCGTAATTCATCGCTGCTATCTGTCGTTTGACTTCAGTCGTCAGCCTGGGGAGGTACGATTACACTTTTTCCCCTTCTGTGAGGTCGGGAATACGATTATAAAATTCTTCCATCTGCTGTGTGTACTGCGCTATACTGGCGATCCATATGCGGACGACGGAGTTCCGATCGCTCGGATCGAAAGCCTCGGGTGGGCGTGGCTTTGGAGCCTCGAGAAAATGCTGCGAGTGCTGCCTCATTGCCGTTGTCATTTCATGCTTTGCGGTCGGCTCGCATCTCCTCTTGTAGGGCGGCGATGCGGGCTGTGAGAGTACGACCGCGTTACACCACTTGTCCCTTTTCTTATTTCCTTCCTCGTTCATTTCTCTTATCTCATTTGGTTTCCTATTCTCCCTTTTCCCTTAACCTTTGGTTTATCCTGCTATTGTAATTATATCACCGACCAGGCTTGGGATGTACTGGTGCGCTATCTGGCGTAATCCTGCCGTAATCCCTTAAAGCCAATAGCCTCGCGTGGCTATACGCAGGGTGATTCTATCTTCTAGAAGGGTCTATTCCCTTAGGATAAGATAAACCTGGTTACCTGATGTACTTTGGAAGTATAAAAGCGCCTTGTACTGATCGATAGTACAACCTTTCCTCGACACATTCGATCCTGTGACACTTGGTAATCTGAGCTTTTCTCACTCGACCGCGCTCAGCTAAGCAGCAGCAGCGGGGATCCTGCCTCGAAAAACCGCCGGGGGCGACCAATTCGACGCCGATTCTGGTAAGCACCAGCTCCACGATTTTCGAATTACCCCCTCTGTGCGTGTTTTGAACAGGATGGCAACCTTCGACAACGCCGAGGTTACCCAGCAGCTCTTCGCGCGCATCGCAGCCCTTCAGGAGGAAATGCGAGCGGATCGCGAAGCGTGGCGAAACCAGTTCGAGCGAGTAACTCGACTCGCCGGAGCGCAGCACGAGACGACAACGGCGACGACGCAGCAGTCGCAGCAGTTTCTCGAGGCTCCGAAACCGCGCCCACCTGAGCCGTTCGATCCGAGCGATCGAAACTCCGACGCCCGCAGATGGATCGCCGGGATGGAGATCTACTTCGCAGCCGTCGGATGGAGCTCGCCAGTCTGGGACGGTCAACGCGTACGACTCGCGGCGACACTGATGCGAGGGCCGGCACTCGAGTGGATTGGCGGCAACAGCACTTTCATCCACGGTGAAGCCACGTGGCAGCAGTTCCGCACCGACCTGCTGAAACGCTTCGAACCGATAAATCCCAGTTTCCTTGCCCGGGAAAAAATTCATCGACACCGACAGTTCGGGAGTGTAGCGCAGTACACGCAGCAGATGGAGGAATTTTATAACCGCATTCCCGACCTGACCGAAGGGGAAAAAGTACAATCATACCTCGCCGGGCTGAAGACCGAAGTCAAACGACAAGTGGCAGCGTCAAACTACGCGAGCTACAGTGACGTCGTTTCGGCAGCGGAGCGCTTCGACATGGTCAACGCCGGAACACGACGGACGCACGTCGGCAGTACGCGACATGGCGACCGCTCGGCTCACCCCACGTTCGCTGACCCGATGGAAGTCGACAGATTCGAGGGGCGGCCACGTCCGAAAAACACCAACTACACGTGTGATTTTTGCGGGGTGCCGGGCCACCGAATCTTCGACTGCAGCAAAATGAAGACCGCACGCGCAGAGTATCGGGCCCGCAACTGTGGCGGAATTCCTTCAGCCAATCAGAAGTAAAAAAACGGGAGTCGCCAGTGATTGCGGATCTAGCTGGCGAAAATAAAAAGATTCGAAAGCGGCCGCGGGATTCCGGGAAAATCAACTTCGACGAAGCTGATTCGACGCGAGAAGGAGGAAATGATGGGGGAAAATCTCCACCCCACGACCAGTCCTCGCCAGGGAAAATCGCCGAGGGAAAATATGACTCCGCGAAAAAAAACTCTGCCGAGACGGGGAAACTCCTTGAAGACCCCAGAAATTATAAGAATTCGTTAAAGTTATCTTATAAAGATGCTTTAATGAACACTTATGAATTTCGAGGGGCTAGAGCCTTGGAGAAATTTCGGGAGGGACTCCAAAAGAAGCAGACAGCTGTGGAGATTATACCGGTACCGGAAAACCTGGGGACCAAATTAAGGAGTGTGGAAAGAAGCCGACCTTTCCACGGAGTCAACGTCCTCTCCCGACACCAGCCCACAACGACTACCCGTTCCCCAGGGAAGACGTCGGTGGAGCTGAAGCAGCTCAAGAGGAAGCTGGGGGTCTACAAGAAGCTGCACAAACCCCGAACTCCTCCTACGGATGCATCCAGTTCTTCGGCATCAGTGACGCGCACAGTCCTCAAAGAAACTCCGGGCCCTGGAGAAGAGCCGTTCTCCAAGCAGCCTCGGCCAGCTGCCAGCTCAGGAGTAGATAGCAGCACACAGGTGTGTACGGAGTATTGGGATGTACCCTATGACCCAGTCAATGAAACTATCTTTGGGTACTCCGAGCAACGACTGCCCCTCGTGCTCGAGGTCATCTGCAAAGGACGACGCCTCCAAGCACTCGTGGACAGCGGAGCATCACACACCGTCTGCAACAAGGCAGTAATCGACCGACTACGGGGAGAGTACAAGCCTTCAGGATTCTCTGCAACGATGGTGGACGGCAGCAAGTTACCAGTACACGGCGAAGCAGTGCTACACCTACAAATCGGACCACTGCGCTGGAGACCTGCACTCCCCATCACCAACATCAAAGGGCTTGACTTGATCTTCGGGCGAGACTTCCTAAAAAGATTCAACCCCGAGATCAACTGGGTGAACCGCACCGCAAGCATCTACAACAATGGACGGAGAATACAGCTACCCAACTGGGACGATACTGGAGATATCCCAGTGGAGACACTCGCACGATTCGAGAAGGACGTAAAACGGACCGACACCAAGTTCCTGGCGATAGCAACAAAGGTGGAAAATGACGGAGAGAAAGCCTCGGAAACTCCAGAAAAAATCAAGGAATTACTGAAGGAGTTCCAAGACATTCTTCCTGACGATCTTCCGAACGAGCTACCGCCATACCGAACGCATCAACACGAGATCGTGGAGGAACCGGGTTCGAAGCCGACCTTCCGAGCACCATACCGGCTCAGCCCTACAGAGCTGACTGACATGAAAAAACAGATCGAGTATCTCCTAGCCAAAGGACTCATCCGGCCATCCACTTCGCCATACGGTGCCCCAGTACTCTTCACCCCGAAACTGGACGGAAGCCTGCGCATGTGCATCGACTACCGAGCTCTTAACAAGCAGACCATCAAGAATAAATATCCGATACCGCGAATCGATGACCTGCTTGACCAGCTTCGGGGAGCTACGGTATTTTCCAAACTGGATCTGCGGTCCAGATACTGGCAGATACGGATGGCGAACAACTCTATCCACAAAACTGCTTTTCGAACTCGGTACGGATCGTACGAGTATTTGGTAATGCCGTTCGGACTCACCAACGCGCCGGCAACGTTCCAAGCCGAAATGAACCACATTCTACGACCACTTCTGGATGAATGCGTGGTAGTGTACCTGGACGACATCCTCATCTACTCGCGCGACATGAAGCAGCACGTCGAACACCTGCGACGCGTCTTCGAAATTCTTCGACGGGAACGGTTTTACGTCAAACTGTCCAAGAGCGAATTCGCCCTTGAAAAGGTCCAGTTCCTAGGACACATGGTGAGCGCTCGAGGAGTTCACGTCGACCCCAAGAAAATCGAGGCCGTACGCACGTGGAAAACGCCCGAGAACGTGAAGGAGTTGCAGCAGTTCCTAGGCTTCGCCAATTACTACAACAGGTTCGTGCCACAGTATGCGAAACTCGCGGCACCACTCACGAATCTGCTGAAGAAGAACACGCCCTACAAATGGGAGACGAAGCACCAGGAAGCCATGGAGCAGCTGAAACAAGCACTGACATCCGCACCGGTGCTCATCTTGCCAGATCCCGAACGTGACTACGTCATTGAAACAGACGCCAGTGATCAGGCCGTGGGAGCAGTCTTGATGCAAGACCAGGGGAATGGACTTCAACCAATTGCCTACCTCAGCAAGAAACTGCACGGGGCAGAACTCAACTACCCGATACACGACAAAGAGGCCCTTGCTATTGTCATCGCCTTCAAAGCATGGAGATGTTATCTCGAAGGACGTCAAACAACAGTCTACACCGACCACTGCAGTCTGAAATATCTGAAGACACAACCAACCCTTTCCAGGCGGCAGGTCCGGTGGATTGACTTCCTCGAGACACACTTCCACTACGACATCGTGTACAAGCCCGGCCACAAAAACAAAGCAGACGCCCTCAGCCGGCCTGCGCACGTTGCCGCTTTTCAGGCCGAAGGGATGAATCCACTACTCAAGGAACTCTTCGCACACGGGTACGCCATCGACCCCGAAATTCCCTTGGCAGAAAAGCGACATCTGCTACAGTGGGACAGTGACATCGCGTACCGGAAGGGATCAACAAAAATCTGGGTACCCAATTACCCTCCTTTGCGCCAGTTACTACTCGAAGAATACCACGATGTCCTGTACGCCGGACACTTCGGTAGCAACAAGACGCTCACCGGTATCGCCAAACACTACTACTGGCCCCACATGGCAGACGACGTCCAGAAATTCGTCACCTCGTGTGATACATGTCAGCGGATGAAGAGCAGCAAGCAGAAAAAGGCGGGACTACTGCAGCCTCTTCCTGTCCCAGAACAACCATGGCAAGTGGTTAGCCTAGACTTCATCACCGGGTTACCACCTACCTCCAGCGGTCATGACGCCATCCTTGTCGTCATTGACAAGTTCTCCAAAATGGGACACTTCATCCCGACACACACGACGGCACGCACCGAGGAGACAGCACAGCTCTTCGTTCGTCATATCATTTCACAGCATGGCATCCCAACCACACTCATTTCCGACCGAGACCCCAAGTTCACCAGCAAGTTCTGGAAGGAACTCATGTCTCTACTCGGCACCAAACCCGCCATGTCATCCGCATACCATCCACAGACAGACGGACAGACCGAGCGCCTTAACCAGATTGTGGAGCAACTCCTCCGAGCAGCCTGCAAGGACGACATCTCCAAATGGGACTTGCACCTGCCCGTACTAGAGTTTGCTTACAACAATGCTACGCATGCCGCTACTGGACAGACGCCGTTCTTCCTCTGTTACGGACGCCACCCACTCACACCACAGAAACCGACAACATCCGCTACAGTACAACCTGCACATGATTTCATCACAACCATGCATCAGCTTTGGGATCGGACCCATAAGCGCCTCCTCGACATTCAACAGCAACAAAAGCGCCAGGCCGATCGCCATCGCAACGACCACACCATCACGGTGGGAGACCAGGTGCTTCTTGACACCCGCAACCTGGACATCAGCCACCTCCCATCTAAACTTCGACCTCGCTTCTGCGGGCCTTTTCTCGTTGAAGCACAGGTCACTCCTGTTACCTTCCGCTTACGCCTGCCAGCTACCTGGAAGATTCACAACGCCTTCCATGTCCAGCTTCTGAAGCCCTACCGGGATCCGAACACGATCTTCGTCGGACGCCAACCGCCGCCGCCGCCGCCCGTCCTCGTCCACACTGAACCCGAGTACGAGGTCGAATCCGTGCTAGCACACCGCCGACGTCGGAATGGCACCGTGGAGCTTCTCATCCGTTGGAAGGGTTATGATCCTTCTGAGGACAGCTGGGTCCCTGAGTCCGACATGGGTAACGCCCGTCGTCCTCTGCATGACTACCTTGTCAAGCAGGGTGTTACTTCTACCACCCAGCTTTGAGGGGGGGAAGTGTGAGAGTACGACCCCGTTACACCACTTGTCCCTTTTCTTATTTCCTTCCTCGTTCATTTCTCTTATCTCATTTGGTTTCCTATTCTCCCTTTTCCCTTAAACCTTTGGTTTATCCTGCTATTGTAATTATATCACCGACCAGGCTTGGGATGTACTGGCGTAATCCTGCCGTAATCCCTTAAAGCCAATAGCCTCGCGTGGTTATACGCAGGGTGATTCTATCTTCTAGAAGGGTCTATTCCCTTAGGATAAGATAAACCTGGTTACCTGATGTACTTTGGAAGTATAAAAGCGCCTTGTACTGATCGATAGTACAACCTTTCCTCGACACATTCGATCCTGTGACACGGGCGAAGAGCTGCTGGGTAACCTTGGCATTGTCGAAGTTTGCCATCACGTTCAAAACACGCGCGGAGGGGTTAATAAAAAAAAATGCGGAGCTTGTGCTTACCAGAATCGGCGCCAAATTAGTCACCCCTTGAGGTTTTTGGAGGCAGGTTTTCCCTCTGCTGCTGCTTAGCCGAGCGCGGCCGAGTAAGAAAAGCTATGATTACCAAGTTTTACAGGATCGAATTGGTCGTGAGAATGTTGCACTATCGATCGATACAAGGCGCCTTTATACTTCCAAGGTACATCATATAACCAGGTTTATCATACCTTAAGGGAGTAGACCCTTCTAGAAATACAGTGGCGGAAAGTATTGCCCGGATAATTGCCTTAAAACATTTCTCTTACCGGTTTGGTGCCTTTTTTGTTTAGTTACGAATCAAATTTCGGCATTGGCTGTAAAGTAGTACTGTAGTGTATGTGACGAATGCTTGGTTCAGTTTTATAAGGGTCAATGTTTTACCGAGGACGAGATTTCGTTCGCGTGGGTGCATCCGGAAAGTTCATGCCAAGCAGCGTACTAGATCTATTTCCTAACCTCGCATTTTCTACTTACTTGCCCTCGCGACTATCGAGTAGTCATGAGATAGGCTAGGACCGCTGTGACGATTAGGCCATCATGAAACCGATAGATGAGGCGCACCGCGCACGGATCATTACCCTGTTGCGGAGGGGGTATAGCACTCATCGAATCGTTAAACAGCTAGGCGTGGGCAAGAGCACGGTCCACGATTATGGACTTAAGGCGATTGAAGAGTCTAGCCGCGATGCCGTGCGTCCTACGACGCCCTCAGCTGGTCGCCCTCGCTTAGTGACAAAGAGAATTCGCCGCGGCATAGTTCGGTCGATTACTACCAGGGAGGCCAAAACCTCTGCTCACGTGGCAAAGATTGTCGAGATGCAGCACGGCATCACGCTGCATCCTAGGACGGTGCGTAATGCTTTGAATAGCAGCAGACTTGTCGCCATCCAGCAGCCCACGACGCCGCGACTCTCTTGAAAAAACATACGCGATAGGCTAGAATGGGCTCGTGCCCACGCTGACTGGACGGTTGACGACTGGAAGCGGGTGATATGGTCGAACGAGATCAAGATCAATCGGTTTGCTTCCGACGGACGCTCCTAGGCCTGGGTTCGCGAAGGTTCTGCCCTCCAAAGCCACCAAATCAAGCAGACCGTCAAACGCGGGGGCGGCTGCTTGATGATTTGGGGGTGCATGTCGTATGATGGCGTGGGTTTCATGTGAAAAATAGATAGTAGGATGGACGGACCGCTCTATTTGAGTATACTGCAGGACGAGCTCAATAGTACGATTGAGTTTTACCTCGGAAACTATCTTCCAGCACGACAACGAATCGAAGCACAAGTCGCGTATCATGCAGGAGTGGCTTAGAGAGCAAGAGTTTGGGGTGCTGGAGTGGCCGTATTCCTCACCCGACCTCAACCCAATAGAGCATTTATGGGCTCATCTCATGAGGCAGCTGGCCAAGCATGAGAAGCCTCCCACTGGTATGCTGGACTTTTGGGAGCGTGCGCAGGAGGAATGGGAGAAGATCCCGGCGGATGTGTGCACCCACCTGGTGGAAAGCATGCCCAGGAGGGTGAGGGCGGTGATTAAGGCGAAAGGGCAGTGGACTAGGTACTAGTTTGGGGTTGATGTAACTTGCTGCTTGCGCCTGGCAATAATTGTCCACATGTACCATGATTGTTAATTTCTGATATTTGTTGTAAACATCAATATCTGTGTGAGATGTAAGGCATGGGCGTAGAGCCTTACCCCAACCTACATACACTAGGTACACCAAAAGATTATGGCTTAATGTCCATGACCCCCTAAAATGGCAAACTTCCTCTAAGTCACAAACATGTGGACAATACTTTCCGCCACTGTAGAATCAACATGTGAGGCTATTGGCTTTAAGGCTTTAGGGTAGGATTACGCTAGATATAGCACGCCAGTACATCCCGAGCCTGGTCGATGATATAATTATAATAACAAAATAGACAAAGGATAGTGGAAAATGAGGAATAAGAAACCAAATGACATGAGATAAAGACAAAAAAAATAAGGATAAAAAGAAGAATAGGATAGAGGAGAAATATAGAAATGAGAAAGAAGTGTAACAGGGTCGTACTCTCACATCCTGCGTTGCTCCCATCCCTGCATGCATCGAAAGCGCCTCTGTGCACCTCCTGCGTTCAGGGCTGGCAGTGCGCCGCTCCTCAACCTTCCTCGTTTCCTCCTACCACAGCGCTACAGACACTGCACACGAACATCTGGAGCCCGACCCCGGTCCATGGTCTTAGCAGAGAGCACTTCCTTCTCGTTGTTGTTAACAAATTTTCACGCTTTACCACGGTGGTTCCGCTGGAGCGGAAGGCCGATGTGCCTGACGCTCTCATCCCGTGGCTGCTCGCCACCTACACTCAGTGCCTCCTGCCTATGTCCGTCTGCACCCTGACCGTGGTGGCGAGTTCGTCTCCGATCGTCTAGGTCAGTTTTTTCGTGCGGAGGGCATCCGCCACACGTTCACACTGCCGGACTCCCCACAACAGAATGGGGTCGCTGAGCAATTCATCGGCTTGGTCATGGAGGTAGCTCGCACCTCTTTGGTCCACGCTGGTGCACCCCATTTTCTATGGCCGTTCGCTGTGCGCTAAGCAGCTCACCAGCTTAAGCTGTGGCCATGCTCCCTACGACCACAGGTTTCGCAGTCCCTTCTGTGGACCGGGTCCCCTGGTGACGCCTCTGCGTTCCACGTCTGGAGTAGCTGTGCTCACGTCCGCGCCACTGGCTTAGACAAGCTCTCAGGCTGCACTCTCCCCTGTGTCTTTCTCAGGTTCCCTCTTGATGCCCCTGATTGGTTGTTTTACCATCCAGTACACCACCGCTCTCGTAACGTTACCTTCAACGAGACGCTCCCCTACTACCGGCGCTTCCCTCACTGTTGCTCTCCTTTCCCTCCTCCTCCTCTTTTCCTCGCCCCTGCCCCGCTGGCCGTACCCGTCCCACCCCACCCAGCCCCGTCTAGTGTCTCTCACGCCACTCCTTCCCCCTCGGTTGGCCTCTGGAAGAGTCCGCTGACTCTAGGGGCCCCGTCGCTGGGGGTGCGCCTGCTATCCCTGCAGTGCCACCCCCCCTTGCCGAGGTACATTAAGCACCTCAGTAGCATCCTCCCTCGCCTCCGTAGCAGCAGCAGTAGCCACAGCAGCAGCAGCAGCAGCAGGGGGCAGTTTGAACTAGGAGTGCTAGTTCAAGGGGTGCGGGCTCTGGGGGTGCTGGTTCTGGGGGTGCTGACCCTAGGGGTGCAGGTTCCGTGGGTGGTGTGTCAGGGGGTGCTAGTCATGGGGGTGCTATTTCGGAGAGCAGAGGTGGTAGACGAGGTAGAGCTGGAGGTCTTGGAGAGGACAAGGAGCAGCCGCAGTAGAAGCAGCACCAGCCACAGTCTGCCCTTTTGTCTCCTTGTCCTTTCCTCCAGTTTCCCTGACCACCAGCTCGTCCCTATCTATGGCCCGCTGTTCCTTCCCCCGGACTCCTCTCCGGCTCGTTTACCCCCAAGCTCTCCTCTGTCCCCTGACCTTTCCCCCTTTCCCCCTTGTCTTGAGTC